CACAATCATATACCACAAAGCGTTTAGCCATTCCTCAATTTATGAGTAGCCCCTCAATTTCCAGTTTTTTGCTACCACAAAGAGAGCTCCTATAAATATTTTAGAACATTAGGCTCTTTTCTGTTTTACCTATTCATCTTTGGAAATAGGCTTAGTAGTGGCATTGGGTCAAAGGGTATAAGCAGTTTAATAATATTTGGGCATAATTCCAGATTCCAAGTCAAGCAGTATTTTTTATATTACAACATCATGCTGAAGGTTTCTTCCATCATTTTCAGTTCGTGTTTGGGGGAAAAAAAAGAAGAATAGAGAAAGGGATTAGATCTGTGATTTTATTGGTCTATAGAACTCCCAGGTTAGGAAACTCCCTCTACCAATATAGATCATCACCTTCTATACAACCATATTAGAAAAGGTACCCAAGGTCACACAGCTAATAATTATCTGAGGTAGAACTTGCACTCAGGTCTTCCTGATTCTAAACTAGGGGTGGGGAACCTATGGCCTTGAAACCACTGTAAACTTTTGACTGAGTCTGAGTGTTATGGAACAAAACCTTTTATTAAAGAGATTTGATCCGTGAAGTTTGGATTCAGTCAAAGGGCTGCACTTGAGGACCTGGAGGGCCACATGTGGCCTGGAGGCTTCAGGTTCCCCACTCCTATTCTGGACTCAAGTCAATCCACTGTACCACCTAGCTGCCTGTAAATGAGTGCTTTGTTGTATACTATACTGAAAAGAATGAGGTACTCAGAGGCAGTTAGAAGGTCTGGTTTGAATCCTAGCTTCCAATCATAATAGCTCTGCTGCCCTGGACAAGTCCTTAAGCGTTCACACAATACAGTGGGCCAGACCAAAGGTTTTGGAGTTAAAAGACCTGGGTTCACATCCAAAGCTCAAGGAGAGTCAGTATGGTATAGTGAATAGGACACTAGACTTGGAGGACCTGGGTTCAAATCTTGCCTTCAACACATATTAGCTGGGTAACCTTAGGCAAGTCACTTAACCTCTGTCTGCTTCAGTTTGTTCATCTAAAAAGTGATGGAGTTGGACTCAGTGGACCCTAAGGTCCCTTCCAGCTCTAAATCTATAATCCTATGTTCAATCTGTCACTATCTGTGTAGCTTTGCACATTACTTAACCATCTCTGGGCTTTAGTTTTCCCATCTGTAAAATGAGAAGAGTTAGACAAAGTGTCCTCGAATGCCCCTACCCAATCTAAACCGATCTTCCCACTGCAATACCTTTGTCTCCCTCTGACCTCACATAACAGAAGTGCTTAATAAATGTTCATGGAATCGAGGCATTTGTTTCGTCCCCTAACGATTGCCCCAGAGCCTCTGAGGAGAAATCAGCAGCTCTGGCCTCCTGTAGACAAACAGGTTCAGTGATTTCTCACTCGGCCTTTCCATCTTCACTTTCAGAGAAGGTCAGCATGCACTCCCTTCTCCAGGAGCTGATCTAGGGTGGATGACAGAGCCAGCAGACAGCTCTGTATATTTAGATTGCTTCCTAGCCCAGGCTCCTCTAAAAAATCTCAGTGTGACTATATTTCAAACAAGTTTTATACTGGCTCCCATCCCAAGCTGCCTCACCCCATCTAGCATAATTGCTGTACTCTGGAAATGAGTGATGGGGCACACAGTGTGAGGGCTACAAATCTGAAAAAGAGGGACGATGGTCAATGTTTCGCTTGTATTCACGGCCTGCAGTTGCTGAGCCTTCCTCCAACATAATGGCCACATTTTAGGAGGGAAAATGACAACCTGGACTGCATCCAGAGAAAGAAAAACGGGATTGGGGGAAGGCGAAAGTAAATGATCTCTAAGGTTCCTTCCTTTCTTAGCGATTCATCAATCTATGTGAATTGGCAGGGGCTGAATCTTCTCCCATCTCCTCCATGGCAGAAGCACAGAGTGGAGGGCACACAGGGAGGGGCCCCATAAATGTTTACTCCCCAGGGTCCTATCTTCCCGCCCGGTCAGATCCCACGTGGAAAAACGTGCTCCAATCTGTGGTACCCATTTTAGGAAAGATGTGGACAAAGTGGAGCAGCCCAGGGAAGGTGACCTCAGATGTCAGTGGAACTGGAACTGGGACTGGACATGGAAATCATACAATGAGAGGTTTCAGGAACTGGAGCTATTTAGCTGAGAGGGAAAAAAAAAAAACCTAGGAGAGGGGAGAAAGGGAATATGATCTCTGCCTTCAAGTAGTTGCAGGGCTATCTTAAGGAAAGAAGTTAGAATAAATCCTACTTGAACCCAGGGTTCAGAACAAGGAGCCATGCGTAGAAGTCACTGGGAGGCCGATATTATAAAGAACTATCTGACCAGGGTAGCCAAAAATAAATAGAAAAATCTTGTGATTTAGAGAGGGAAGGGAAACATGTGGCTCTGTAAGATGGAAACAGCTAGAGGCAACAGTTGGGTGGGCCCAGACTCCTCGCAAGAGGTAGGGGAAGAGTTTTCATGAAGAGGAGAAGAGCAACCATTTGACCTTGGGAGCTGAGGAACAAAATGGGTCAGTATGGGGGAGAAAAACTGGACCTCAACTACTACCAAGTGTTACATGTATTGCTCAAGTCTGATGGAAAAAGGGTTAACTCTCTAGCAACCTCAAGTACAGTCCCCTTGAAAGAGGACCTCGACATAATGAAGGAGGAAGATTAGTTAGAAAGATCAAGAAAAGACATGGAATGTGAGCCACTCATTTTAGAAATGAGGAAACTGAGGCTCAGAAAGGTAAGTGATCTATCTGCCCAGGGTCACACAGCTTAATAAGTGTCTGAAGCTGGATTCAAACTCTGATCTTCCTGGCTCTGTCCACTCCGCCATAGTGTCTCTCATTTTACAGATGAAGGAAATAAAGCTTGAGTGCAATACCCATGTTCACCCTACTAGTGACCCACTGTTCTCGGACTTGAACTCGGTCCTTTTGATGCCAAAGTTGGAGCCTTTTCCACTGCATGGCCCTCCCTTCTCTTTGTCTTCAACAAGCCTGGCATCCACACCCAACTCAGGAAACATTCCTCACCTGAATTCTCCATAGCCGCATCATTCCCTGTTTTCCTTCAGTGAATGAAAATCTATTCAGACTTTAATGAAAACATTAACCTCAATTTCACCTGATTCTTTTCCCTGCTAGAAGGTCTTAAAATGGGGTGAGACCGATTAGTCTGGCTATCCCTCTCCGCCTGCCGCTCTCTCTAATGCTTAGCTACCAGAAATTCATTTCATCCTTCCCCAGAAACACTTCACTGAAATTCTCTGTAGTTTCATCAAAGCAAAATCCAGTTTCCTGGCTGAAAGAGCCCCTGCCTATTTCCCATCTTCTTTCTCTCCCCAAGCACCTTCTGTGTGATCCTCAAAGGTAAATTTGCTGAATGTTGCCTTAAAATTACCAAGTGTGAAAAAGTAGCTCAGGAGAAGAAAATCTGAACTTATTCACAACTGGAAGTCGACTCCTGAAATTTGATGGCTCCAGCACTTTGCATATGATAGTTTCATTTGATCCTCACAACAATCCTGTAAAGTAGGGAGTGTAAATATTAATATCCCTATTTTACTGATGAGGAAGGTAAGGCTCACCAAGGTTATATGCCCATACTCACAGAATTAATAAGTGATGATCTTGGACCCAAGTATCCCGAATTCATTCCCAGTCCTCTTTCCATTCTCCCAACATTACTTTATCTAAAATACATTTTTTGAAATCTGATTTCCCTGCAATGAGAATGAGACAGGGAAGGACAGGCTCACTGACTCATAGCCAAGAAAAGTGACAGTCAATAGATTCATTGAGGGAAGAGAAAGAATTTTTTGCTGTTGCTAAAAGTCATAAATCACAAGGCTCTTATCTTGGGAGAGTCAGAGATGAGTCTAGGGGCCAGAATCAGGGCTCACTCTGTTTCCAAGACTGGCTCCCTGTAAGGGGCCATAGATAGAAGGTGAATCTGGGACAAGCCTAGTCCTAATCAGGTTTGGAAGGTAGAGAGGTTTCAATTTAATGGGAAAATCACTGGATCTGTAAGACAGAGCAGCTAGATTCCAATCCTGACTATACTAGGTAGCAGACTTTTCCTAAGGTTTGTGTAGCAACGGGCAGGTCACATCGCCTTTCTGATACTGAGTTTCTTCATCTGTAAAATAAGATGATTGGGGCAGGTGTGATCTAAAGTCCTTTCAAGCTCTAAATCTGTAATCCTTTGGGAGAAGTCATTGGCTCAGAAGGAGATCATAGTAAGTGTATCATTCTCCTATCTCCAGGTCTATGTGAGGCCACACACAAGCACTTCTCCATAGTTCATTAAGCCCACTAAGAACTTCCACGTTCCAGAGGGAACGTGGATCCAGAGCAAGAGAAAGAGGGGTGTCTCTTTCCCATAGTTGATGACCAAATTCTATGTTCAAGAATTCCCTTTCAGGGAGATGGACCTCAAAGATTCTTTAGTAAGGGACCAGGAAATGGACGCACCTTCAATAAATATATTACACACAGAATGTGTCTTTACAAATACAAATGATTAAGCGATATGCTCAAGTAACTAGAGATGTTTAACCTAGAAAAGCAAAGATTTAGCTAAAAGTCTCTGCCATCTCAGGGATGACAGAGGTCAGTAGTCCAAGTACATGAGTAGGATACCTACTACAACATCCCAGCAAGTGGCTGTAATTTCTATAGCACAGCTGATTTAGTAGTACATGTCCTTTTTAAAATATGTAAGTAGATAGGGTCCCTGTACAACCATATTGATCTCTTTGGACAACTGCCATGGAATTGTTTCTCTTTATGTCTTCAAAACGTTCTTGAGTTTCCCATCCCTCCTGGACTAAATTTTTCCAGGATAATTTTATTACTTAGGAACCCAATTAGCCTTTTTCCAAAGTCTTTGAAATTTGTTGGCAGAATATGCTCAGCTTTCCTCTCTTCGATCACACATTCTAAGAGGAAGTAGTCATTTCCCACAAAGGTCTCATTGTGACTTCAACAACCAATCCCTTCTTGTTGCTAAGAATCAGGTACAAATTATTACTTCTTCCACACTTTGAAGGATGACATTTTCTAAGCCAATAACAAAATCATCATTAACTTAAGCCAAGAAATTATTAGATATTGTGTTTCTGGCAAAGAGAGAGCTCCTGTAGATACATGGATAATTAAGTCTCCTGTCACTACTATATCATGCCTCTTGCCAGCCCTGTGATGTGTTTACTGAACTCCTCATCTATTTCCTTTTTCTGTCCAGGTGGTCTGTAGTCTTTCTCTGATGACACTATCTTCTCTCACTTTGTCTCTATTGAGTTTTACCAAAATGCTCTCCACCGTGTTTTCCCCATCTGGTACCTGAATCTCTTCATGTGAGTATGTCTTATGTAAATGTTACTGGTAATAACAATATTACTGTATAGTGCTTTGTTCCCCTCCTCCCTTTTACCTAGTCTATTCTTTAACCATTCCAAAAGCATATTTGAAGCGTAGGTTCCATCCCATCAAGTCTCAGTGATATCTACAAGTCAAATGTGTTTCTATCATTAGGCTTCCTAGGTTCTCCTCACTTCTTACACATATTTTGTTGTTTGTGCAGTGATATCTGAAGCTATGGGCTTCAGTTCTTAGCTCCCCTTCAGGATTTTATCTCCTATGGATTTCTAGGCAACTCTAGTGCTACCCTGCTGTCTTCACCGCAGCTACTCTCTATGGTACCTATCTTGGTGGATTTGTAACAGCACGTTCTTCCTCCCCTTTACTTTTCAGTTTAAAACCCTTATAATTAGATTTCTGAGACTCCAGACAAAAAATATTTTTACCAGTTTTTAGGAGGTGTATTACAACACAGTCCAAAGCATGGTTCAGAAACAGAAAATTCTTTTTCAGTATTTCTTAACCAATTGATCACTTCTCAAATCTACCTCTCTCTCTGAAGCCTTTGCCTTTAATCATCATCAGTGATGAAAACACCACTTGTGTCCCTATAGTATAGAGAGTCTCACTGAGGACTTTTTTTTTAAAGGCAATTGGGGTGAAGTGACTTGCCCAGGGTCATACAGCTAGTAAATGTCTGAGACCAGATTTGAACTCAGGTCCTCCTGACTCCAGGGCTGGTGCTCTATCCACTGTGCCATCTAGCTGCCCCTGCACCGAGGACTTCTTCACCCTTAATAACACTATCCAAATTCCTTCTGGCAGCAATATTTGAGCCCAGGCTAATCACCAGGGTTAGGTGATAGCCACCAGAACTGATTAGATTTTTAAGGATTTCTACCACATTTCTACTACATGGTCCAGGCAAGAATCAGAGTCCTCAGATGTCACCATTATATGGACATCTAGACATCCACATCTCCCTTGGCACAGAGTCACAAACCATCACTACTAGACACTTCTTCACTTCTTTCTCTGACCCTTCCTGGATAATGTTCTCCAGAACATTGCTGTATTCTTAGAAGAGACAGCTATAGTAGATCCATGAATTGTTAACATTCCCTATCACTTCTCTTTCATGCTCCATGTAAGGCTTAAAATCTCATCATTCCAAATTCATCATCCATTTCTGTTCTATCCCAGTGGTCTGTTGTATATTTCTAACCCAATATCATTTCTGATTCTTCCTCCATTGAGCTTCATTGACCTGCCTGAGGCAGCTAGGTGATACAATGTATACAGCACTGGGCCTGGAATCAGGAAGACCTGAATTCAAATGTGACCCCAGACACTTATTAGCTGTGTGACCCTGGGCAAGTCACTCAACCTCTGTCTGCCTCAGTTTCCTCAACTGAAAAATAGGGATAATAATATCACCTACCTTCCAGGGTTGCTGTGAGAATCAAATGAGATAATATTTCTAAAGTACTTAGCATAGCACTTGGCACACAATAGGCAATTAATAAATGCTTATTCCCTTAATCACTCTCAAATGTTCTCCACAGATGTTTCCCCCTCTAATTTGCTGATTTTCTGTTCCTTGTATTAGTATATACTGTTATTTTTCAAACATCATTTTATTTATAGTCATAACTTTCGTTTTTATATTATGTTCATTTCCAAATCTATTCCTCCCCTCCCCTCTGTCTAACAAGCCATCCTCTATTTCCAAGATTTTAAAGAAAAGAGAGAAAAAAACAGTTCAACAAAACTAACCATCACATTGTCCGTGTCTGACAGGACATATCTGCCTCTCTAATCTCCTACTTCTGCAAAGAAGGAAAAGAGGTACATTTCCTCAACTCTCCTCCTGGGCCAAACTCAGTTATTGAATTTTCAAGGTATTCCATTTCCCTTTTGTTTTCATTGTTATCTCCATTTAAATTGATGCAGTCACTGAATATATTTTTTTCTGGTTCTGCCTCACTTCATTTAAGTCTTCCCATGAGTCTCTAAATTCTTTGTATTAATCTTTTCTTCTACATGGTAATGCACTATTATATTCATCAACTGTGATTCACTTGGCCAGTCCTCAGTTGGTTATATTCTGTCAGTCAAAAAAAAAAAAAGCATTTTAATAAATGCCTACTATAGCACCAGGCACTATGCTAAGTGCCGGGGATACAAAAAGGGGTAAAAGACAGTCCCTGCCTTCAAGAAGCTGACAATCTAATCAGGGAGACATATACAAAGCAAATTATATACAGGATAAATAGGAAATAATTAACAGGCACTGGAATTAAAGGGGTTAGGGAAGTCTTCCTGTAGAAGGTGAGATTTTAGTTAGGATTTAAAGGAAGCCAGGGAGGTTGGTGGTTGGAGTGGAGGAGGGGGAGCATTCCAGACACGATGGCCAGCCAGAAAGAATGCCCAAATCCAAGACATGAAGTTTCTTGCTCATGGAACAGCAAGGAGGCCAGTGTCATAGGACGGAAGAGTATGTGATGGCAAGTAAGGTGTGAGAAGTCAGGAAATCTAGGAGGGGGCTAGGTTACGAAGGGCTTTAGCTGCCAGGATCATTTTGTTATTTGATCCTGAGGGGGGCGGCAATAGGAAGGCACTGGAGTTTAATAAGTAGTAGAACGATATGGTCAGACTTGTGCTTTAGGAAAGCTGAATGACAGCTAAATGGAGGATGGACTAAAATAGGAAGAATCTTTAGGCAGGCAGACCCACCATAGACTGTCACAGTAATCCAGCCATGAGGTGATGAGGGCCAGCACCAGAGCGGTGGCAGCATCAAAGGAGAGAAGCGGTGTATTTGAGAGATGTGGCACAGGTGAAATGGATGGCCCTTGGCAAGAGGTTGGATGTGGGGGGTGAGATATAGTAAGGAGTCCAGGATGACTCCTAAATTTCAAGCCCGAGGGACAGGGAGGATAGCGTTGCCCTCATTGGGGGAGAGTTTAAGGGAAAGATGATGAGTTTAGTTTTGGACGTACTGATTTCAAGACATCTGTTGGACATCCAATTCAAGATGTCTGAAAGGCAGTTAGAGATATGAGACTGGAGGTCAGCAAAGAGACTAGAGCAGGAAATGTAGATTTGAGAATCAGCAGCACAGAGATGGTAACTAAATCCATTGAAGCTAATGAAAGCATCAAGTGAAGTAGTACAGAGGGAGAAGTGAAGAGGGCCTGGGACAAACCTCCATGGGATACCCACAGTTAGACAGTGTGATCTGTGGCAGGATCCTGCAGAGAAGACTGAGAAGGAGCGGTCTGATAGGTAGGAGGAGAACCAGAGGAGAATACTGTCACGGGAGCCAAAGGAGGAAAGAGTATGAAGAAGAAGAAGGTGCTCAAGAGTGTCAAAGGCTGCAGAGAGGTCAAGGAGAAAGAGGACTGAGAAAAGGCCACTGGATCCAGCAACTAAGAGATCATGGGTCACTTTGAGAGAGCAGTTTCAGTGGAACGACGAGGCCAGTAGCCAGATTGTAAGGGGTCAATAAGAGCGTGAGAGGAGAGAAAGTGGAGGCACCGATTGTAGATAGATACTCATTATATATTCCGAGTATATGTTATTCCACTTTCCCTTTTATCTATTATGTTCCTTTTGAATAAGGTATTACTTCCTGAGCCACATTACAACCATCAATCCCACACCACCAGGTTTCATATATGTGTATATATATATATATATATATATATGGTCAAATTTATTTCCTTGGCTTAAGATCTCTAGATCATCCTGTTTATGACCCATACCTTGTGCATTTGTATATAGGGCCAGGGGGGTTGTTGCTGCTTTTCTTTTCTCATATTTTTTCTCCTAAGAATCACTAGGCCTTTCTACAGAATTTTTTCCTATGTCAATCATTCAGGCAGTAAATTGTACATTTATTAGGCACCTACTGTGTGTCAAGCACTGTGCTAAACACCGGGGATATGAAAAAAGGCAAAAACTAATCTCTGCTCTTAAGGAGCTCATAGTCCAATGAGAAGAGAACGTATGAATAACTGTCTAAACAGGACGCAGACACGATCAATAGGGGGATAGTATCGGGGGAGGGCACTAGAATGAAGAGAAACCACAAGGTTCCTTGCAGAAGAGAGACTTTAGCTGGGACCTAAATGAAACCAAGGAGGCCAGGAGGAGGAGATGAGGAAGGTGACAGCTCCAGGTATGGGAGTCAGACAGTGAAAGCATTTGGGGTTGAAAGATGGAGTATCTTATTTGGGGACTAGCAAGGCCAGGGTCACTGCATGGCAGAATACAGGATGGGGGACAAGGTGTAAGAAGACTATGCTGTGAATGCCTTCAGAGCACTGTGGTGCACACCTTTCTAATGTACTTCCTGAATATGTTTGAAAAGTCAGTTTGGCATCATGTATAGAGACCCAGCTTCAGAGCCAGGAGGATCTGAGTTCAAATTCCAGCTCTGCTACAGGTTAGATGAGTGACATTGGGCTTGTCAAAGAACTTTTCAGTGCTCTCTAGACAACTCGGAAAGTAAGTTGCAATGGAAGGCTGACCAGCATTAATAGAGTTTCCTTATCCATGAGTTCACTATACCAATGAAAGGTCTAGTCCCTATATTATAGGGCAGCTAGGTGACGCAGTTAATAGAGTGCTGGGCTTGGAATCTGGAAGACTCCTCTTCCTGAGTTCAAATCTGGGCTCAGACACTTATTAGCTATGTGACCCTGGGCAAGTCACTCAACCCTGTTTGCCTCGGTTTCCTCATCTGGAGAAGAAAATGGCAAACCATTCTAGTATATTTATCAAGAAAACCCCAAATGGGGTCATGAAGGCTCAGATACAACTGAACAACAACAATAGTCCCCGTGTACTTATCTGTTTTTACTGTGTATTATGTGTAGGGAGGGGGGCCATGAGGGGCACACCCCCTTACTCCCATGGAGTTACACATGTTCTCTGACCTCTTAATGAAAAGCCTGAACTTTGCTGTCATCTTCAATACTTTATTTTTTATTTCTTTATTTCTTTACTTATTATTCAACAGCTTAGTTATGGGGACCCAGAGACCGACCAACCAGGAAATGCTATGTCATCGCAGCACAGCAAAGTGCATTTATTTCAGCAAGAGCTAGAGTGCACACCCAACTCTATGGGAAGGGGTTCCCCTGATTACCCCCACTTCATATTTTTTTGGTATTTCTATCTCCACTGTTGAGTTCCTTAATAACAGAGACTGCATCACATCTAAACCTTTTATCTCGCCAGAGCTCAACTCAGCCACTACCTTCTGTGTTTTCCTGATTTCCCCCAGCTGCTGCTGGTAGTCATCATCATCATCATCATAACAATAGCATTTATATAGTATCTACTACGTGCCACTGTGCTAAGCACTTCATAAATACTTTCTGATTTGATCCTCACAGTGATCTTGGGAGGTAGGTTCTATTATCTCCATTCTACAGGTAAGGAAACTGAGGCAGACAGAGATTGTTAATTGACTTGCCAAGAGTCACCCAGTTAGTAAATGTCTGAGGCCAGATCTGAACTTGGTCTAGAAATTCAAATTCCGTCTCAGACAACATCTTCACATGCATCTGTCCCCATCCCAAATCTACCCTTCTTCCAAAGACCCTACAGTAAATCACTAGTCATAATGAAGATGAGATCTCTTCCTTACATCCTTGGCTTCATATCCAGAACTTCGTAATCCCTAGAAATGCTTTCTGGAGGCATCATTTATCACTACATGAATGACTAGAATAGAGTTGAAGTTAGAAGGTCAGCTATCTTCTGATGGCACCAAAGGTCAGAATTCAGACTACCCAGAAGAAGGTACAACAGGGAGACAGTTTTCAGGGCCATTAGGACCTTCTAACAGAAAAAGCTGTCTAATTCCAATACTGACACTAATAAATACTACTACTACTAAAATAATAATGGCTTACTCTTTATGGCTTAATAAATACCGTTCCTCTGGGGCAGCTACATGTTGCAGTGGATAGAGCACCAGCCCTGAAGTCAGGAGTACCTGAGTTCAAATCCAGCCTCATACCAAACACTTGACACTTACTGGCTGTGTGACCCTGGGCAAGTTGCCTTAAATAAATAAATAAATAAAGATTTTTTTGAAAATACTGTTCTTCTGATTCTCATAAAACCCTGAAAGTTAAATAATGTGTATGTTACCATCCCCAATTTTAGAGGAAGAAACTTAATTTCAGAAATGTGAAGATCTGAGTATAGTAGAAAGAATGTGTCTGGAGTCAGGGGATGTGAGTTCAAATCTCAGCTCTGTGTAAATGTGGGCACATCACTTCACCTGTTTCTTCATCTCTAAAAAGAGAAGATTGAACTGGACCATATTTAAGGTCATAATCTTAGAGGTCATCTAGTCCAACACCTTCACTTTGTTGTTTAGTCATTCAGTGTGTCCGACTCTGTGACCCTATAGACCCCAGAATGCCAGGCCCTTCTATCCCCTACTATCTCCCAAAATCTATCCAAGCTAATGTTTGTTGTTTCCATGACACTATCTATCCATCTCATTCTCTGCTGTTCTTTTCCTTTTGCCTTTAATCTTTCCCAACATTAGGGTCTTTAACAATGAGTCTGGTCTTCTCATTATGTGCCCAAAGTATTTAAGCTTCAGCTTCAATATTTGACCTTCCAGCGGATGGCCTGAATTAATTTCTTTACTTTACATGTGACCTTGACTTGATATGTGACATTTACTTTACACGTGAAAAAACTGAGGACAGAAACAAAAGTTACTTGCTCAAGTTCATACAGGGTACGGAACAGAGCTAGTATTTGAATGAAGGAAGGACTGGCTCCCAGTATACTCACAGATACACTGCACTGCTTTGCTACAGTTCAAACAACAAATAATCTGAC